TAGTGTTTTCCATGGGTTAAAAACAGCAGATCTTCAAGAAACTAAAGCATGGCTCCCACGGCATGCTCTTCAAAGACTAGGTAATCAGGGCATGTTCTTTGAGGCACTGCCTTTTAGGGCACGGGCTTCAGGGTACAATATTTTGGTCCATACGCCAGGCACCCATCTGTAGTCTAGAATGCAATGGGGAAGCGGGGGGACCCTAGCATCCCTTCAGGGACCCTCAGTCAGCTGGTCGGTGGTCATAGTGGCTTTGTTCGAGGGACGCCTTGGGTCACTTTTACACCAGGAAATTCTGACATATCCTGTCCATGGGATGCCACCCAAGAGTTGGGGGGGGGGGTGTGGTTTCAGGAGTAATGGACCTTCTTCTCCTTTCTTTCTACTTTTCTCTCTAGGAGGAGCATGGGAGCTTCTCCTCAGTCCCCAAGGACTCTCCCTTGGGATGCCTTTTTAACCCACTGGGAACAATTGGGATTGCAAAATTTAGGAAAGGACTGATTCCCTGTAACCCTGCATGGCCTCAGTAGGATCTAGCAGTTAGATCTCTCCTTCAGCAAACAGGGCAAATGGACAGAGGTATGAGGATCTGGACCTGAGGGCCTCTTGCAGAATGTGCCTAAGGACCAACCAGGTTAGTAGACCCCCTTTAGACATATTGGACGTCCAAGTAAATCCAGGTCGCTGGAGGAAACACAGGCCATCCCGATAAAGGCAACACTGACTCTCTATTCTTACCCCTACTAGATGTGAGGACCTCTCCCTCATTCATCTCCTGGGTTAATGACTACGATAATTGGAGCCAACTGTGATTAGTCTACCTCAGGAAGGGGACTTTAAGGAACATTCCCAAGCCACCACCGCAACTCCATTTGTTTCGGGGAAGTTCCCTGTGTTCTCTAGCCTGACATGGACTATTTCCACTTTGGCAGAACAAAAACCGTGGCATCTGTGCCTCTGACAGAGCACCACCCCTTGGACCGCCCACTTCAGATTTGCCCACCAGTGTCCCAGGCAGAAACGGACAATGGGGATCAGGTTGTCTTTTAAGTGGACCCAAGTTGAACATATTTGTTTAAACTAATTTAAGTTTGCTGGTTTAATTAAGATAGACCTATCTTTAGAGTTATCAGCATTAAATACGAAACTTTTATTCTACCAAGGTTTACTAAAGGTCAAAGAAGCTCATGTTATCTCTGTTGCAATTTGTTGGCAAAAAGATGACTTAAAATAATGGTTCATTTTGTCCCTCTCAAAGTTTTCATGGGTAATTGTGAAGATAGCTTTCAAAGTCTTTGGTAACCTGAAACTTTAAAATTTTGCTTTAAAGTTTGCATGACAAATGAGAGCAAATTCTTTGGACATCTAGGTCTTTTCCAAACCGAACGGAGGGCTAAAGCATGGATTATTAAGCATAAGGTTTATCTGCTTTTGACTTATTGCAGAGAAACTAAGACTATTTGGGTCTATTGAAAAAACATGCTTTGTGCTTAATTGATTCATGAATTTGCTATCTAACGAATTCTGGTGTAACAGTTTATGATTGGTTCCTAAGTTTTCCTTGGGGACTAAGGTTTCTAAGTTAAAATTTTGCTAAGTATACTTAAGACGGATGGAAATAAGAAAAGCAACCCTGTATGTAAGAAAGTAGGAGATGTGTAAGAAAGATAAAATGAATGGAAATACATTTTTTTTTTTTTTTTGGTTGAAGGTTAAAGAAAATAATTTTGTCCTAAATGAGACTGGTTGTTTGGAGAGAAATGGCTTGGGACAAAATTTGAAGGCAAAGGAAAGTTGTAGAAGGTTCATGAAGGGAAATCTTTGGAAAGGAATTCTATGTGTGCTCAGGATGGTCTAAGGTTGAGAGGAATGGAATTTTAAAAGTACACTGGCCTAAGGTTGAAATTCTGCTAGTCTCTCTGTTCAAAAGACAAAGTTTTCTTGGACTGTTGATCTGCTCTTGATAAGACAATGTAAACAAAGGTGTTTGTTTGTTTTTTTTTTTGTCTGTTGTCTGCCAGGAAAACCAAAGCTTTAGGTTTCCTCCTTTTTTTTTTTTTTTTTTTTTAATTTTAGGTTTCCTTTTTATCAGGTCTTTGATTAGTTAAAGTTAAAACTTCTCAATGTTTAAGTAGCTTGGTTTCGCTAACAACATATAATGACACATATTTGCCTTTATGATCTCTTATTGCCATGTTGGGTAAATAAATTAAGATTTTAATGATCTGTAACCCTATCTAGGATGTGCTTTACAACTTTCTAAGGTTTTAACAAACTTCCAAGGTTTAAATTGTAAATGAAATTTTTTCGACCAATTGGGCATTTTATTTGGGGTGCTGAGTTACTGGGAAAAGCACCATTGTACAATGGTAAACCTTAGGTTGTATTGCTGTAACTGCCCAAATATATATGCAATTCCTAAAGTTTTAAGGTTTTGGTATAAGGCCCTCACTTGATATTCTGATTATTGAAGTGTTATGTGTCACAGAAATAACTGAATTCCCTTGTCAATTGCATCATAATGAACTCTTATCAGATCTTTAACAATGTCCATTTCTGAGATTTTGTCATTTATAATTGTTCTTATTCTCTCACAAAACCTATTTCATCTTCAAGGAGATTCACGAAAAGGCCTTTTTTTTTTTTTTTAGGACAAATACAGGTATTTGGCATCTTGAAGATTAACACTAAAATGGGCAGAACTAAAAAGCTGCATTCAAATTAAACAAGAATTAGGAACATGAGACTAAATGAACTGAAGAAGATTATAGTTTTTTGACCCTTGTTTGAAATATTGCTGGTTCTCTAATGTTTCTCTTCCAGATTAAGGAAACTTTCTCTTGGGGAGCCTGGGTGGCTCAGTTGATTGAGCATCCGACTTCGGTTCAGGTCATGATCCCGTGGTCTGTGAGTTGGAGCCCCACGTCAGGCTCTGTGCTGACAGCTCCGAGCCTGGAGCCTGTTTCCGATTCTGTGTCTCCCTCTCTCTCTCTGCCCCTCCCCCGCTCATGCTTATCTCTCTCTCTGTCAAAAATAAATAAAACATTTAAAAACATAAAAAAAAACTTTCTTTAAACTTTCTCTTAAGATATCTAAAAAATGTCATCAAATATTCACTTGTAAACTGAAGCGTTGAACTTTTCTCTCTGCCTAAACCCTCTGAAACTCAAAAACTCTCAGAGTATTCTTTCTTTCATGGCAATTACAATTGTTTGTGTACGTTCAATAAGAATCTATTCTCCTTGTAACAGGACACCATTGGAAATACTGGTCATTTTACCAAGGCTTTGACTGGAATGTCATATATGAGAGTCCTGCATAGACTCAGATATGACCATACAGCTCTAAGGATCTAAGGTTGACTTTGTGAAACATGGAGCCATAAAGCCCCTTGGAAATGTTGGCCTGATACCCGCTTCCAGAGTTCCCAGCAACCTCACAAGGTGGGTAAAAAATGTCCCTTCCTGGCAGGTGCAGGGACTTCAGGATACATTGGGGACCTCATGGAGAGCAATTCGCCCAAGTCTACGGGTATTGCAGGACTGTCGATGGAAGTACTTGGCTTGGCTTCCGGCCTGGAGAGGCTACTAAAAGTTCAACCTGGAGATTCCTTATGAAAGTTTCCAGCAAAGCAAACTTGAAAAGATCCCTATGATCAATGACAATTCCTGCTGAGGTTATGCAAATCATTAGGCCAAGTTTGTTAAAACTGGACTTGTTTTGCAAACAAATTAGGCTTGATTTGGCTGTCTCTGGAAATGAGGTTTTTAGAGAGAAACGCTGTTTCAATAACATCTTTATGGATGTTAAATTCCAGCTCTGATTGTCTTTAAATGTTTGCTGTGGGCCTAAACTAGACAGCCTGATGTAAACTTCAGAAAAATTGTCACAATATTTCATGTATAGAAAATCTTCTGTGCTTGTTATTCCGTGGGGGTAATAATAAGACCCCGTGGGCATAGGATTATTTAAACAACTGGAAAGTGGGATAGACTCCTGGAACAACCGTATGCAAAGACTTTTCTCACTGTCGACCTATCAATAGATAAAGACCACAGTGCTTTATTATTCACTTGAGGCTGGGTTAATTCATAAATCTCTAAATAGGCAAACCATGTCCTCCCTAAACCTGATCTGACAGTTACTGGAAACCCATCCCTGGTTTATGTAAAGGATTAAAAGTCTAATACAGCAGGGGACTTAACTCCAAAATGAGAAGGCCCTTACTGGGTCATAGTATGTCCTCCCACTGCAGTAAGTTAGAGGGGCACTCTTCATGGGCTCCCGTATCTAAGTAAAGCCTGTGCCCCCTTCCCGGGAAGTCAATGAGCAAACCAATGTACCTTCTTGTTCTTTCGAGCCTGTGGAAGACCTCAAACTTCTCTCATGATGTTGTGTCTTTCCTTTTCATTCTCCTCTCCCGATTTGTACTAACAATTCCTTCTTACAATGGGCCATTCGAAAGGACCGCCACAGGCACTTGAGTTACAAACCAGAAAGACCCATCTGATTCCTGCTGCCTGTTCCCACTCTGATCCCAGGAGGCTCCAAGCCAGATATCTAAAAACCTCACTGGCAGCACAGGGAGGCCCTGGGTTTGCAGTTCGCTCTAACCATTAACCTCCACTTTTCTTGTTTCTAAAAACAATACCTCTTATTAATGATCTGATTGCTTACTGAACAAAACAGAGTCTATAGGATGGCAATACACCGTCTGTCACACGGTGAAGGCCTTAAATGACTCTCCAGCTAACATCATAGCATTAAATACTAAAATAACTCAAATGCATGAAACGGTTCTACAAAACAGAATGGCATTAGATGTTCTAACTGCTGCACAACGTGGAACTTACACTCTCACAAAAACAAAGTGCTGTGTGTGCGCTCCAGACGACCACACAAATACTTCGGGATTTCTAACTGACCCGAATACTCAAAGTGATGTTTTACGCAATCCCTCCCTTTCCGTTGATGGTTGGTTAAACTCTTGGACTGGAGGATTCTTGTCAACTACCAAAGAACTTTTATTCGAGCTAATCCTTCTACTTATTCTAGTTATGTTTTGCTGTTTTCTCCCGTGTCCTTTCGCTTGGTGCAGAGATTCCATCGCTGCAATGGCTTCTCGACGGCAGACGATCCTTACCCACAGAGATACCACCTTACTGTCCGTGTTGGATTCAGCTGCCTCTGCTTTTCGTGATTCCTTCATGCATTCCCCACCTGACCAATACTGACCCATGTAGGTAGGGACGTCTCTACACCCCTTCTCAGCAGCAAGAAGCTACAGAAGATGAGACCTTCCACCTTCAGCAACCTGAAAGATTTAAGGGTCAAAATTGTTCAGGGGGATATGATGAGGGAGCATGGTGGGGGGGGGGGGTCTCTGAGGGCAAAATACAGGCTGGCACCTCCCACACTCCCTGGTGGGATCTGTGGGATATTCCTCAGACACTCCTGGCCGCCCAAGAACAAAGGAAAGGGGCTTAAGTGCTTGCCATGGCGATGTGGGAAACTAAGGCAAATAAAAACTAAGTTCCCTTACTGCCTACGGCCCATTGACAAGTCCTTGAAACAGGCAGGGTGACCTCCTCTGGGAGCTCAGCTGCCTCGATGATGACACTTTGCTGGGGACAAAAGGGAACCTTGGCTTAACATTGTTCTGACCCCCTCCCACCCCCTCCAATCCCCCATCCTGTAAGTCTACTTTAACATATAAAAATTCCTTGGGAAACTTCCTTTGTCTCAACTGCCCCAAGATATATGCTGGCAATCATACTCCAAGCCAATGGCCCTGGATATGCATCTGAAACCTCACGAGTGAGGTTTAGGAAACAGTAATAAATGGTGTTTCCGTAGCAACGGTTAGCCCCTCAAGGTCCTGGAAACCTTGCTTCGAAAATACCTTAGAGACTCTATCCCTGATCCCCTCCCAAGCTGAGGGTGTATAATGAATTACTTGTCACAACCCCAGTGCAGCTCTTCCTACCCACAGGTCCTGCCCCCGTGCTTTAATAAAATCACTTTTTTTTGCACCAAGACGTCCTCAAAAATTCTTTCTTGGTCGTCGGCTACAGACCACTCCACCATCACCCCAAAACTTCATCAAATTACATTATTGAATCAGCACTGAACCGGAGTGTGGGTTCATGGGAGGGATGGCAGGGGCCCTGGCAACCTCACCTTTCACCTCCACGCAGGGCCAGCCCCCTGGTTCGGAGTCTCCAGACGAAGGAGTAGGCCTGGGGGACGGCACCCACCATCGGCTCTCACAGCCCATCCTCAAGTCCCCTCTTGGAGAGACTGAAATGCATCTCCAAGGGGCAGCGAAAGAATTCACAAGGACAAGTTTTCTCAAGCGAATGCTGTAAGAGAGGGGAGGTGGGGAACCCTGTCCTTTGCTGCACCCGGTAGGGGGTGCACCCCCTTCCTCGGAGGGCAGACGAAGAGTCTACAGGTGGGCTAAGTCTTCTTACCTGGCTCCCCCTACAGGCACGTTCCTGTACTGCGGCTCATCCGCTCGTGCACGCGCGCGCGCGCACTCAGCGCAGGCTCGCCACCCGCGCACGTAGTCCGGGCGCCCCCAGGCCTGGGCTCCTCTTCCTCCGCGGCTGTGTCTGCCCATCCTTGCCTCACCCCACCCCTCAGCTTCTCTTCCCTCCCCCCGCCCAAGAGGCTCCCACCGCCCCCCTCCTCCTGCCACAGACCGCGAGTTGACCCCCGTCTGCCCATGTCCGGGTGGACCCGCGGACCCGAGTCAGCGGTCCCCCGGGCTCCGAGCTCCTGTACGAGGGGAGGCGCTGCTGACACGGAGCCTGGGAGGCCCGAGGAGCGTGTCGCGCCCGCGGGGCTCCTTTCCTGCAGCCCGCTCGCCGCCTGCTCGCCGCCTGCTCTGCTCGAGGGCACAGGGGACCCCTCGGAGGGTCCCCAGGTGTGGGGGGCGCCCGTGGGACTCCAGGAGGCCACTCGCACTTCACAGCGGGGCCAGGCGCGGCTTCCACAGCTCAGGTCAAGTTCATCTGCCCTGAACATTCCGTTTCTTTCACGAACGGAAATTAGTTACTTAGGCAACTCGATTTCCTCTAAGAAGGGCCTCATAAGCCTTCTGAAAGATAAGTGTCGTGAACTAGGGGCTTTTGTGGTGCCTTCCAGGCTGATGTGACATCAGTAATAGGGGCTTTTGATTAGATGTTTTTATTTTTTATTTTTTTCAACGTTTATTTATTTTTGGGACAGAGAGAGACAGAGCATGAACGGGGGAGGGGCAGAGAGAGAGGGAGACACAGAATCGGAAACAGGCTCCAGGCTCTGAGCCATCAGCCCAGAGCCCGACGCGGGGCTCGAACTCACAGACCGCGAGATCGTGACCTGAGCTGAAGTCGGACGCTTAACCGACTGCGCCAGCCAGGCGCCCCGATTAGATGTTTTTAAATACAAAAATAGAGTGGAGCGAGACAGAACTGGGTAGAATAGAAAATACCGAGTGCCCCGACACAGGAAGGATAGGAGGATTTATATATATATTGCAGATATATGTATAGGATTTGGGTCACAAATGTGGAAAGGTGTACTCACTAAGGCACCAGCCTCCTGGAGGGGTGGGGGAGGCTCGTGCCCCCCCCCCCCCCCCCCCCCCAAGGGGCAGGACTGCGGCCGGCCTCCACCACGGCCTGAATCCCACCCCTGGCCCAGAGAGAATCCTCCCCGGGCCCAGACTGACGCCTGGCTCCGGGGGTGTCGGGGAACTCAAGGACCCAAAGTCATGAGCTGTGTGAACGGCTCAAAGATCCTCGGGGACCCTGCCCCAGACCCACCTGCTCCTCCACGGGCGCTCCCCAGCTGCCCTCCAGAGCGGCCCAGGCCTCCCTCCTGCCCTCCCCGCACCCGGCCAGAAGGCTTTGCCCCCCTCCTCCCTGCTTCCTCCTCCCGTATCCTTCGTAGAGCCCCTGAGGACCCCTCTCCAGAACCTCTCACTCTCCCCTGGGGTCTGCTTCCGAAGCACCCAGATTGACAGCCCTCCTCACCCTCCCCTCCCCACTTCCCCCTCCCCCGCCTCTCCCTTCCCTTCCCTTCCCTTCCCTCCCCTCCCCTTCCCTTCTCTTCCCTTCTGCCACAGGGAGTTGGCCTGAGCGGTGGAGGGGCGGTTGGTGGCAGGGTGTGTGAGGAGAGGGGCCGAGGCGGGACCTTTGGGCTTCCGGGAACCCGCCCTCTCTTGGTAGGGCGGGCTGTATCCTTACCCCCTGGGCCGGGGGACAGCCCAGCTCACCTCCTTTCCCATTTGGTACGCCGCGGGGTGAGTTTTCTGCGTTTCCTCGCAGAAACTTGACAAATAGGCTAGTCTGCAAGAGGTAAGAGAGGCTTCCCGGGGCCCGCAGCCGCTGCCCTTGCGGGCTAAGCGTGGCTGCTGCCCAGGGGCACAAGGTGGATGGAGCTCCGGAGCCAGCTCGGGGGAAGACAGGGCACCGAAGGGCGCCGAAGCCAGGCCATCGCTGCCCAAGGAAGCCTCCTCTGACGGGCCACCCCGCTGGCTGTTTGTAGGGTCATGTTGAAGTCAAAGTCTGGAGTGAGGCTCTGTCTGTGTGAGAGGCACGTCCAGCCCCCAGCTGCCTGGGCTCCCAGGGACCACGGATGGCTGGTTCCTGCCCCTCAGCTGGGGTGGCAGCGGGTCAGTCCCGGCCTGCTAGCTGGAGTTGGACAAACTCAGAGCCACACACGCTCTCCCACCTAAGTGGGCCCCTGGCACCCACCAGGCAGAGCTGCAGGGACCGCGGACAGGGTCCCACCCCCAGCCGGACTGCAGCAGGTCTCCCCCTGGAGGGCTCTTCCCAGCCCCCCAGGGCGCCTTGCCTACCTCAAAGCAGATTTCCTGTGAGAGGGGAGGCGCCCCAGTGATGGGCTTCTGTTGGGGGCGGGGGACTTCCAGGGCTGACGGCCAAGAAAGAACTCTTGAGACGTCTTCGGTGTAAAAAGATGATTTTATTAAAGCACGGGGGAGGGGGGGCGCCTGGGTGGCTCAGTCCGTTGAGCGTCCAGCTTCGGCTCAGGTCATGATCTCACGGTCCGTGAGTTCGAGCCCCGCGTCGGGCTCTGTGCGGACAGCTCGGAGCTTGGAGCCTGCTTCAGATTCTGTGTCTCCCTCTGTCTCTGTCCCTTCCCTGCTCATGCTCTGTCTCTGTCTCAAAAAGAAATAAAAACTTTAAAAAAATTAAAAAAAAAATAAATAAAGCACGGGGACGGGACCCGTAGGCAGGAAGAGCTGCACTGGGGTTGTGACAGGTGACTGATTATATACCCTCAGGTTGGGCCGGGGTTAGGGACAGAGTAAGTCTCCTTCAGATGTATATGAGGGGCCGTAAGCGGGGAGGATGATCGCCAGCATATACCTTGAGGGGTAGAGATAAAGGAAGTTTCCAAAGGAGTTTTTATATGTTAAAGTAGACTTACAGGACCCTGGGGGGTCGGGATAAGATTGTCTTTTGCCCTGAGCAAAGTGTCATCATGGAGGCAGCCAGCTCCTATAGGAATGCCACTCTGCCTGTTTCAAGGACTTGTCGCTGGGGCTGTAGGCAGTAAGGGAACTTACTTTTTTGACTTTGTTTCCCATACCACAAACACTCAAGTTGGGGAGATCCGCTGGGCCAGCCTGAAGGGTCCTGACCGGGGCCCAGGGCAGGGACAGCAGGGAAAGGATGAAGCTGGCTTGTCCCCAGACCATGTGAGTGAATCCACAGAGTGTCCAGGAAAATGGAGACCCAGCTGGACCAGACCGACCACAGCCTTCGGCAGGGAAACAGGGAGGGGTCAGGGAAAGGGAAGGGGCGGGGGGGGGGGGGGGGGGGGGGGTGGCCGGCGGGAGGAAAGGGTGGGGGGGGGGGCGTAGGGAGGGGGCGGTGCTGGAGGTGGTCCCTCTGGGCAGGGCCTTCCTGGAGGTGGGGAGGGGAGGAAGGCTCCCGGGTTCTGCAGGGCTCCCCTGGGTCTGGGAGAACAGGCGGGCGGAGGGAGGGGGAAGCTGGCTAGAAGGGGGGCAGTGTGGGGGGCGGGCAGTCCTCTGGGCCGATGTTCTGACCCATGCTGATGACCCCCTGTGACCCTGGCTCCCGTCTAGCACCGGGGACTGGGTACGGCCCTAAGGCTGGTGACAGAGGGAGCCTCCCAAGGCCACCCCCCTTGTGCAGGAGGCCCCCACCAGGGGCTACGCAACCCCACTGGAGGGCCCAGAACTTGGTGGGACGCGGGGTCTGGCTGATCACTGCCTAGTTGAGACCAGGCCAGGACCTTTTAAAGCCAAATAGGCAGTAGTGTCTTTCCAGGTACGCTCGGGTGGGGAGCTCCCCAGGCATTGCTGTAAGGGAGGCCCCTGCCCTCCAGGTCCCCAGCCCCCGTGGGCCTCTCGGACCCCAGCTTCTCCATCGGCCACTGCCCTATGTCCTTAACTTGGAGAAATTAAAAGACAAAAGAAAGTTTTCACTCTGAAGATCCTTAACTTGTCGTGGGACAGCCATCATCTAGGTAAGGGGTCCTCTCGGTGCTCTGTGACAAATCCTGCGACTGATTCCCACGCGCCATCCGAGAGCTCTTCTGAGTCTGCGGACGTGCAGCGTTCCGCAGGCACAGTCACAGAGGCCCCACCCAGCTGGCCATTTGAGGAGGGTCTTGGCTTGTGCCTCCAGGAAGCCTGCAGTCTTGTGTGTGAAGCAGCCGCGGACTGTGGCCCCAACACCCCTTCCTGCAGCGCTCCCTCCTGCCAACCCCCCCACCCCCCCACCCCCGCAGTGCTATTTCTGCAAACATCACACTTCTAAATTCTAGGTGTGACTTTCTACCCACAGCACCAGCTTTCAAGCCGTGTTTCCATTTAAATGTACTCGTCTGGGTATTCACCGAGCACCTAGTACTTCCCAGGCAGTACTGGATGTCAGGGGGGAGCGGCAGGGACCACCCCGGCAGGAGGGGAGAGAGTGCCCCGATATGGGCACTTGAGCAGAGAAGCAAGCGTGCAGGCCAAGGAGGCCTGGAGCAGACTTCCTGTTCCGGGACTGGGAACAGATGTGCAAAGGCACTGAGGTGGGAGCCTGTGGTTGGAGCAGATGCTCTGAAATCACAGTAGCGCTTTGGACTCTGAGACAAGTGGGAGCCAGCCTGAGAGGGGTGTGTGAGGCTCCACTGGGAGATGCGGAGCTGGGCCCCCAGAGAGAAGGCAGGGGTACAGAGCCACACAGCAGTTGCCGGTCCCTTGGGCTGCTCTCCTCACGCGCTGAGGCCCCACTGCCACACGTGGCCTTGCCTCCGACCCAGCTAGAGCCCCAGAGCGGTAGAGGCCTGCAGGGCCCAGCCCAAGACCTCTGTGGCTGGCTCCCGGCCCGGGTTCTGCCCCTACATGAGACAAGGTGGCAGGAGGTGGGGGGGCAGGGCCTGCACACTTTCCCACGGGACCCCTAAGCAGGGACCTGAGCAGTAGGAGTCCCCAAGCCCCGGGGCAGGGTGGGCAGCTCCAGGTGGGAGCACGGGGCCACTGAGAGGCTGGTGCTGGGGCCCAAGGAGGCCAACAGCACCTGCCAGCAGCCTCGAAACAGCACCCGCAGACAGACAGCCGTGGCCGCCCGACACACCCGGGGGCGGGGGATGGGTGCTTCCCTCTTCCAACGAGATGGCAGAATGACGGAAAATGGCACCTCTTACGCGCTCTCTGCACCCCACAGCCACCTCTGCAGACTCAGCACCCCAAGCCAGGTTCCTGTTAGCTCAGGTCCCGAGAGTGGCCCTATGGATACCTCTTCTGCACTGGTGAGGGCAGCGGGCACCATTCCTTCCCAGTTCAGGACGCCGCCTTCCTGGGCCAGGGACCCAACCGGGACCTGCCTAACCACGCTCACACTTGGGTCCAGACCCTGGACAGGACGGGAGACATCCAGCAGCAAATGTGCGCCCCCCCCCCCACCCCGCCCCAAACTCAAAGGGCCCATAACCCATAACCCAAGCCTCAGCAGTCCCGGCCAGGAGAAAACTCCCCCAAGAGCACGTAGGAAAGGTTCACGGACACCCTGGGAGAGGCACAACACCCGCTGCTCCTGCCTGCTGGCCTTCCTACTCCCCTACTTCCTACTCCCCCTACTTCCTACTCCCCTTCCTACTTCCTACACCCAGCTGGGGGATGCCACCTTCCCAGGGCACCGACCAAGCTTCCATCAGCAGCGGTGACCAGAGGCCTCCAAAGAACTCACCAGTGCCGGCCTTCCTTCTCTCTGGGCTCAGCCAGGGACTTCGGGAACCAAGGCTGGAAAACTAAATGTACCTGACTGCGGGAGGGCTGGGTCACTTGCGTGGACGCCACTGTCCTGGAGCATCTGGGCCTCTGTGCTGTGTGGATCTCCCACCGCTTCACTCGGTCATTCCTTCAGGGGTCACAGCAGGGCCTTCTGGACCAACCCAGCCAACGTGGGGACCCTGGAGCCGGCAGGCCTGTGGTGGGGTGCTGGATGCCGGGGCCAGGCACAGCTGCAGTGGGGACCCGGGCCCTTTGCAGGGTGAGAAGGCACCAGCTCACAGGGAGTGCCCATGTGGGGGGCCATTTCGCCAGGGCTGCACCCACCTCCCTCTACCCATTGGGCCCTCCTCAGGACAGCGTCTGCCCAATCAGAGGTGGGGCGAACTAGCACAGGGAAAGAAAAAGCAGTCTGTGCTGGGGTTGGGGGTGGGGTAGGGGAGAGGAAGCTGACCCAGGAAATGTCCAGTTAGTTTGCAAACTCAAAGTTCTTGACAAGCCCAAGAAAGGGAAGCAGAGGCAGGGGTGTCACAGGCACAGCCAGACCCTCGGGCAGGTGGATACACACCCGACCGCTCCAGTGGGTGTCCAATGTACACGAAGAAGGCTCCCACAGTTCTGGATTGAAGGAGGGAGCGTGAGCAGCCTGCCACGGGGAGGGGGGTGGGCAGGCCTATTAGAGGAACCCTCCTGCCATCACTTTGAGCCCAAGGAACCCCTCTGGCCGGTAGCTCCCGGGTATGCCAAGCCCCTGGATGCGGGGTCTCCTTCAGGAGGAATGGGTTCCAGGGCATGGCCACGACCCCCACCTGTTCAGACTTGCCCAACTGACTACCTACTGAGAGCAAGCTTGGAGGGAGCCAGCCTGGCCTCCCCACCCCGGTTTCCCAAAGGACCCCACGGATTATATCATCCGGCATTGCACAAACCCCCTGGCTTGGCCACGTGTGTTCAGATTTGAGTCTGGCATTTTTCTTTTTTTTACATTTTTCTTTCTTTCTTTCTTTTTTTTTTTTAACGTTTATTTATTTTGAGACAGAGAGAGACAGAGCATGAACGGGGGAGGGGCAGAAACAGAGGGAGACACAGAACCGGAAGCAGGCTCCAGGCTCTGAGCCATCAGCCCAGAGCCCGACGCGGGGCTCGAACTCACGGAACGTGAGATCGTGACCTGAGCTGAAGTCGGTCACTTAACCGACGGAGCCACCCAGGCGCCCCAAGTCTGGCATTTTTCAAAGGACATTGGAGTCTCCTGGCTGACGTGTGGCAGTGACCTTGGGGACATTTTGTGAGTCGGTTGTTCACACAAGAGCCCTCTGAATCACAGGGTCCTGTCTCAAGGCAGAGCCTATTTTCGCTTTCACTCACCATGGGTGAGCACCCGCCATGGGCCAGAGGTGGCCTGGGTGCTGGGCACACGGATTCCCCTGTCCTCAAGGGCTGACCTGCTGGAGGGAATCAACAAGGAAGTGGCCCATGCCCAAACGGATGGGCAGGGCCAAGATAACATGTATGCCTCTTGTGGGGACCGAGATTCATCCAATTCCCTTCCAGGAAGGTGGGAACGGGCCCTGCGCGCCAAAGGAACTTCACACTCCCCCTTCCAGGATAAGCCCAAAGCTGAGACTAAGATACCAGCAAGGTGCTGCACAGGGAAAGGATGAGAAAGTGCCACCAAGGCCCCCATCCTGCCCTCCAGAGGTCAGATCCAGAAGAGGAACCTACTGCATGTCCCTGGGGAACGTGGAACCCCACAGATGCCACCACTCCTTGGCTGGGGACATTTTGTGACACACACAGAGCCCCACCTTCAGCCTCCAAGGAAAGAGCCCCCAAAGTCTTCCCAAATTGATCTCTCCCACGTCATCTGGATGTTACAGAAAACCAGGCAAGGTCTGACCCTGATCCTGACACTGTGAAGACAAACACACACACACACACACACACACACACACACACACACACTTATATGCATACTCATACACACCAGCCACACATCCACTCATACCCCCACCCTGCACACTCACATGGTGCCTAATGCACCCCCAGACCTTTCCCGCGTGTCCGGTGCCATTATAGGGTCCCTCTTCCCATCCAGCTCCATCCCAGCCACTCTGCCATTCTGTCTCAGCTCCCTCCTCCTCCCCTCCCCAACTATAAAGTTAAGAAGCCTCTTCCTCTGGGGCCCTCCTCCACTGGCACCGAGGTGCCACCGAGAAAGGCTGAGAGACAAGGCCAGGTGCCATAGCTCCCCACCGGAAGTGTGTTGTGAATGTGTGAAGTATATTTCAAAAACAAGAAAGTGGCAGAGACTCAGCAAACCGAAGGTCTCTACAAGAAGAGGAAGAGACCGGCAAAGGGAGGAGGCGAGGAGGGCCAGGCAGCCCTGGCCTGTGGGCAAAACACAGCATCTTCAGCTCCCCGTGGGCTGTGCGTGGTCTCCCTCCCTGGCCAATGGCAGGCAGGATGCAGGGACACGGCGGGGGGGGGGGGTGCTGCCCAGAGCGGGTGGTGCAGGTCCAGCCAGGGACTGTCTACTGAGAGGACCCATGAAAGGGCTTTGCCATCAGGCTAAGGATGCTGGCTTTGTTCTAACGGCCCCCTAGGCTCCGGCCTGGAGGTCAGATCAGGCTGGCTTTGGGAACGGACCCCCACCCCCCACCCCCGTCCCACCCCGGCTGCAGAGTGAGCTGGGGGCCTGAGAGCATCCTGGCGGAGTGTCTTGGCCCAGTGGCGCAGCCACATAAGAAGCGGCCCTGCGCCCAGAGGATAAAGGGGTCCAGAACGAGCAAAGATGGACCGTCGCCGGGGATCCCTGTGGCCCGCCACCACTGCCCCCCTCCGACCTCCCTCCCCCACCCACGGGAGAGCTCACGGCTCAGCCCCGAGGTGAGGCCGGGAGCCGAGGACCACAGGCAGCCCGGAGCAGAGGGCGCGACGTGCCAGGGGCAAGGTCCCTGCCTCCTCGCCGCCCTCAGCCGGCCCCAGGGTCGGAAACGCTCCCACCGCACTGGGCAGAAGCGACGCGAGCCTTCCCGAAGAGGGGCCGCCCCCGCCCACACACGCTCGCGGAGCGTCGCCCGGCTGCCCCGCGAGGTCCAGCGGCCTGCGTCCAGCGGGCCAGCGACACCTCCCTGGGCCAGGGCTCGGAGTCCGGGTGGGGGCGCGCCAGCCCCGCCCGGTTGCGGGAACTCTGACTCTCCCGCTGCGCGCGCGTCCCCCGCCCCTCCCGCAAGCACGCCGACCCCGACCAGCCTCCGCGCCCACCCCCAGCCCGCGGGAACGCCGACCGCGCCCCCCCGCGCGCCGACCGAGCTCCCCACGCCCGCACGAGCGCCGGCTCCGCCCCCGCCCCGCCCGCTGGAACGTCGACTCCGCCCCCCCGCGCGCCCCCAGCCCGCCGGCAAGATAACTCCGCCCCCCGCCCGAAGGAGCGGCGACTCCGCCCCCTGCCCGCCCCTGCGCCCCCCGCCCGCCGGAGCGCCGACTCCGCCCGCCGTTCCCCGCCCGCTCGGCTGCCGGGAGTCCGGGAGTGTCGTGCGATTGGGCGCCAGGCTCGGGCAGCTCGGCGAGGCCGTGGACCTGCGTCTGCCCCGCGTGAGTCGGCGGGGCCCGGATCCCGGCGGGGAAGCAGGGATGACCCCTTCGGCGCCCGGCAGGGCGTAGGGGGAGCGAGCAGGGTGCCGGGGGAGACGCCGGAGGGTCCGGGGGAGGCCGGGAGTCGGGGCTTAGGGGTGGGCCCAGTGCCAGGGGGCTGAGCCTCCACTCCCCTCCCCCAGTCCTCCCGAATATCCCCTGAGATCCGGGCTGGAGCGGGCGCACACCGCCACCCGGCGCCCTTCCTGGCTGGGTGACCCAGAGCTGCGCGGGCATGGGGCCCGTCACCCAGCTCCAGGTTCCCCACCTTCGCTCCCGAGGGGACTGGGGAGGGGCAGCCTTCCTGACTTGGGAAGGGGGCTGGGATCTTGGCGGGCCGGTGGGATGGGGAGAATGCACTGGCCTCCCCGGGGGGACCCCTGCAACTGGAGCCTACCGAGGGGAGGCGTGAAAGCTTCTTGTCTGCCAAAGATTATGCAAGCGTGTGAGGTGCCCGGGAGCCTCCGCCCCCCACGCTGATCCACCTGACCCCTTCCCGTCGCTGGGGGCGAGGACTCGCTCTTACTTCTCTGCTGGCCCCCAGTCACGGGATGCCTGGCTTTGTCAGAAATCAGCCCATGAGCCTGGGGGAGGCTGTCTGGGCCCCAGATGGCGCTGTCCCAGAAGCCCACTGGTCATTCTCAGGGCTCCTTTTGCTGGACCCTGCTAATGTCCATCCACTCCAGCCAGTGCCTGGACTCAGCCCAGTGGGGCCTGTCTGATTGGGTGCCTGGCAGTGGACAGTGGGGACGGTGTGGCCGGGCATTCCAGAGCTTCCCTGAGAACAGCTCAGGGCTTCTCCGTGCACAAACCCTCCTTTATAGAAGAGGAAACAAGGGAGGCTCCTTCCCCCCTGAACTGTCTGGATCTGGGGTCAAGGCCCCACTGGGCATGACCCCGTTTCTGGGCACTTGCAGCTCCTGTCCCTGACCCCGAGATGTCAGCCCAGACCCAGGACTAGGCTGGGGGGAGGGGGGGGTGCTGTTCTCTCTCTGATAGTCTCCTTCCTCCCAGTGCCGGGGAACCAGCTCCCAGGCCTAGAATGCCCATCCCCCGCCCGTGGCTGTCCCCAGCAGAAGGCACCAGGCAGCTCCTCCCACACCATGCCTCCTGCAGAACGGAGAGCCAGGATGCCAGCTGGTCACCTTCCGAGTGCTTTCTCCACCCACTGCCTCTGGTCCCTGCCCACAAGAGGGTCCTGGTGTAGGGCACCGGGCAGCCCCCACAGACTCCTGAGCCTGTTTTTGGGGGACAGAATGGGGGAAGAGCAGACACTCGTGGGCTCGCTGACTTCAGCACTGAATAACACACAGAATGGAAAGCACCCTGCGCCCTCAGCACAGAAGCGGCTGGAGGTGGGGGCTCAGCTAAGTGTGCCTCGTGCACCCACCCAGCCCCCGAGACCCCGTGTCAGGAATGGAGCTGGCTCATGGAAGGTTCTGGATGCAGCCTGGCTAATATCGCTGGTCACTGTGTCCTCTCCCCCAGGACCACGACCAGGGGGCCACTCTTTTGGCCTCCCTTTCTCTTTGGTCCTGAGACTAATGAGCTCCCTCAGCTGGCCCCATCCGCAAGCAGCACAGGCTTGGGGGGGGGGGGGCCCAACCCGGGGGGCTGTGCACCCAGTGAGGGGGGGGTCGGGAGTGGAACAAAAAAACCCTTCGTGTGCGGGCGCTGTGGGGGGGGGGGGGCGGCCCCCCCCCCCCCCCGCCATCTGCACAATGGGGGCAGCCCGGCTCCAGGGCCAGGGGCTCTGGCTCCACTGGGAGGAGGGAGGCGTGGGGCACGCAGCCCGGGTCCTCCAACCAGATGTCTCTCCAGGCAGGGCCACTTTCTTTGCCTTTGTGAGACCCCAGACAGGACACCTGTGTTCTCCAGTATGAAGGTCTTCCTGCCCGTGCTGCTGGCTGCCCTTCTGGGTGTGGAGCAAGGTGAGATGCCCTTGGGGCCCCAGGCCTGTGGGTGAGCTGGGCCTTCCTCCCGGACTCTCTCTCCACCTTCTCTCCTGAGCAGTGCCCAGGGGTCCTTCAGGCCCGTTCCCGTGGGACCTGTTCTAGGAGGCCTAGCAGAGCCTCTCCCCCAGCAAAGCGGGGGGTCACGCTTCCTGCTCCCCCTGGAGGCCTGGGTTCTGCCCCCGACACACTTATCACTGTGCACTTGGGTGGCCCTGGAGTCCCGGGGTCCCCAGTCATTCATTGTCTTTTTGGGTCTCCAGCCAGAATCTGGAATGTGATAATTGCTCTGTTAGCATCTGCAAATGATTGGGTGTTGGTGTTGGCTCAGGACTGGACTGGAAGGGAAGGTTCCCCGGCTTGAGACAGGGGTCACCTACAGCATGCCCCCCTTCTTCTGCAGCTCACTCCCTGGTGTGCTTCTCTTGCACGAATCAGAACAGTAATTTCTACTGCCTAAAACCAACCGTCTGCTCGGACTCGGACAACTACTGCGTGACCGTATCTGCCTCCGCCGGCATCGGTGAGTGCCGGTACCTGCCTCCGCCGGGATCTGGGCATCGGCGAGCCCCGGTGCCTGCCTCCGCCGGCATCCGTGAGTGCCGGCGGCCGGCCTCTCCCCGCTTCCTGGGCCTTTGCCCTGTGCCCTTCCCCTCACAGCCTTGTCCTCCCGCCTAGGGAACCTGGTGGACTTCGGCCACACCCTGAACAAGGGCTGCTCCCCGATCTGCCCCAGCCCCAGCATCAGCCTCGGCGTGGCGTCCGTGGGCACCTCTTGCTGCCAGAGGTTCCTGTGCAACATCAGCACGGCCGGCGGGGGGCTGAGGGCCAGCGCCGCCGTGTTGGGCCTCGGGCTCCTGCTCAGTCTGCTGTCCGCCCTGCAGCGGCTTGGGCCCTGACCGCCGGGGCCCCCTACAGCCGGCCCAGACTCCCCCAGCTCAGGAAGGAGGGCCCGGCCCCTCTTCCTTTGACTCGTCACCCTGCTCGATCCCAGTTCTCCCCACCCTCCCCGCGTCCCGGAAGGGCGAGCTTGCCGTTGCCACAGGTGACTGTGTAAACTCAGCTGTGTGGACGCGTGTGCCGGGTGCCCCGGTGGCGTGTGTGCGAGTGTGTGGCCGTGTCCGGGCCCGTGTGTGTGCGGGATAAGTGCCAGGGGTCCGGCATTAGCAGCCGCCGAGCTCCCCGAGTCCACACCAGAACTTCTTTTCTCTGGCATCTCTACGCCCCACGTTAAGGGTAGCCTTTTGGAAGACGGGGTTCCAGTGCGTCTGGGCTTGACTGCTGGACCCAGGAATCGGTTCCCACCCCCAGCTCCAGCCGCGGCCCCCACCCCCTCCCTCCACCCCATACTGGAGTCTGTCTGCTGCCTCGGTGCCTCAAATAAACGCGTGTTCCCAACCCTTCCTGCCCTGGGTGTGACAGCCTGTGGCTGCTCGTCTGGGAGTCCCCCCTCCCAGCAGGGTCCTAGTGTGGGGGGCTCCCTGCCGGACGGCCCCACCCTGAGGTGCACGGCAGGGAGAGGGCTCTCCCAAGTTCACAGCTGGCTGCCCTCCAGGCTGAGAAGGGAACGTCCACCCCACGTCCTCCACTTCTTCCTGTGCTGGGCGAGGCAGGGCCGTGTGGGAGGTTCATCCTCGGGCAGGACAGGTCGGGACAGGTTAGGACAGGAAGCCGGGAGTGAGGTCAGTCTGCTTCTGGGAGGAAGGCAGCACCCTCCAGAGGGAGGAATGGGTCTGGACAGGGAAGGTGAGGGCCTGTAGGAGCAGGCACGTGGGGTGGGCACCGGCACGTGGGTCTCTGGGACTTGGGGATGGGATACCAGGGCTGGTCGGGTCGAGGTGGGCACAGGAGAACCTGGCTGGGCAGGCAGGGGCCTGGTGAGTGGGTGAGCAAGACACCTGTTCCTGAAGCCCCTGGCCACCCCTGCCCCGTGCTCACTTACCCTCTGCCGGCCATGTGTTTGGGGTCTGCGGGGTCTGCTCCTGGGGAAGGGTCTATGGTCACCCCCTGGGGCTTCTTTGATGGGGCTGGGGAGGGGGGTGGCTGGCCAGGAAATAAGGACAAAGGTGCCTTGAAGCCAGGTCAGGACGCCCCTGAGAGGCAGGTCAGAGTCCGCTCGATGTGACAGGCCGGGTCTGAGGGACCAGCCGAGAGGGTCCTAGGTTTCATGCAGGATAGAAATCAAACGGGAGCCGGGAGGAACTGAGGGATGGAGTGGCCGGGGGCTCAGGGACTCGGGAACGAGAGGGAGTCTCCTCGTCACGGGGAGTCAGGGGTTCGTATTGGAAAGGGGTCCAGGGTGTGTGTTCCTTCAGGGATCCAGGGTCGAGTCCCATCAGAGGCCAGTGTCAGGTGAGCGACGGGTGTTATTCCAAGAGTTCTGAAGGTGGGGGTATTGACGGCTGGTGTCAGCCCAGGTTTGTTCCAAGCTAATGTCCTGGAATGTGTTTGGGATCCTGTTCGTTCGGACGTTATCAGGTGTTCGGGGGCTAGGACGAAACTCAGAATGATTAATTTTCTTGCTTCTCCCTTGGAGTGGGAATGGCTTCTTTGACTCAGATGCATGAGTAACTGGGGCCGAAAAGAAACGGACATGGAGCCTTTCTAACATGGAGTCCCTTCACTTCGTGTCTCACACCCGCCTCCCCACCCAGGTTGCCCCGAGGCTGGCCAGAACCCTGGTGTGCCCGTGTCCAGAGTCCAAGGAACACTGTCCGGCAGGGTGGGACAGTGGTCAGTGTGGGGACTCAGGATTCTGGCCCACCTCCAAGGATCCCTGAGATCGGCCATGGGCACTGAAACGCACAAATGTGTCCTCATCATCATGGCCACTGAAAGGGACAGCCAGCCTACATGCACAGCCAAGTGGTAATGCGACGATTGTGCCCAAGGGAGGGATAGCCCCAGACAAGTAGGGCAGGAGGAGGGATCTGCCCCAGTGGGGCAACAAGAGGAAGAAGACCCAGTCCCAACCAGTGCCTTGCAGAAGGATCTAGAAGCCCATCAGGGCAGCCTGATTGAGATTCAGTGGGCAGGGAGTATGTGATTCACCTGAGTGGGTCAGACTGGCATTAAAAATGAAAGAAGGGGCACCTGGCTGGCTTTGCCGGTAGAGCATGTGACCCTCGATCTCGGGGTTGTGAGTTTGAGCCCCATGTTGGGGGTAGACATTACTTAAAAAATAAGAAATTAGGGGCTCTTGGGTGGCTCAGTCGGTTAAGCGTCTGACTTCGGCTCAGGTCACGATATCATGGTTTGTGAGTGCGAGCCTCGCATCGGGCTCTGTGCTGACGGCTCAGAGCCTGGAGTCTGCTTTGGATTCTGTGTCTCCCAGTCTCTCTGCCCTTCGCCTACTTGCTCTCTGTCTCTGTCTCTCAAAAAAAGGAATAAATGTTTAAAAAAATTAAATAAAAATAAAAAATTTTAAAACAAGGAAAAGAATTCAAGGAGCTTGAAATCAGAATGTCCCCCAGAAACACTGGCAACTGTTGTCACAGACGACGATTCCCCGGAGCTCTGAGTCCCCAGGTAGAATCTGTTCGCTGGGTTGCTCACTCAACAGTAAATCAGGCCACCTTGCTGGAGTAGCTAGACGCTGAGTTGAGATAGGTGGGCAGTGGTGGGGTGGGCAAGAGGGAGCTGGCAAGTGGACTTGAAACCTGAAAACCGTGGTCAGGACTGGACGCTGGGGGCAGTGGTGGGATATCTGTGTGCCCTGTGCTCTGTTCCTGGTAAGAGTATTATACCCTGGGCTGGGTATTGGAGCCACTTGCCCTCCTGGGTGGACAGCCCTCAGG